TTTTCCTACCCTATAATTATACTAGAATAAACTCCCCAAATCCCCCTTCCCTCTATCCTAGAGTAGCTGTTTTCCAGAAACTACTGCCAGAGGTCACTAGCACAGTCTAGCCAAAACAAAACCGATTTGCATTTTTAATTTTTTTGAGTGGTAATTCTCTGTTCCCCTAGTCGAGACTAAAATCTTTAAACAATTGATCAGTTTCCTGGAAAATGATACCCAATTCTAGACCCAAACTCTCTGATTTATATACCCCATCCCAGAGTAAACTGCTTGAAAACCACACCCTTCAAGGCGGCACATACTTATATACCCCATACATGGCAATACCCTCTCCCCCGGGGGTTAGATAGCCTATGAGCGTGTGTATTGTGGAGTATCGTTACGTTTCCCAGAATACTGACGCAATTATTGGAACCCTACGGTTAAATAGATTCGATATTGCAGATTCACTTTGTTGTATGTATTTAATTGATAGATTTTCGCACTTGTTAAGATGTGAAGTCGCGTTGCACTTTATAAATACTTGAGACATCAATGATGATTTAACCTTCAACATCTACTGGAAGCAACGCTTAACTGACGTTACGTTTGTGTCGCGGATGTGTTGTACTTGACTGTCACGCACTCTACTTACAGCACTTCATGTCCATAGAATAGAAAGCTGCGAAAGATGTCGAGCTTTTCCGGAACGCGTCAGTCCATGAATTCTATAGCTTGAAAGCGTTGACCACTTTGGAACAAGTGATTACTTCAGTGGTCAATAAAAAGAATCGAAAAAATTTAACTCATTGTCTTCACAACATATTTTAAGTATTTTTGACCATGCAACTTTAAAAAATTATATCTCTGCTGTTATTTACAGTTCCATATCAAGCTATACCTCATTGGAAAGGGCAAAAATTAAACTTTCAGAAAAAAAATATTTCGGTCTCAGGGAAACCATAATATTCTGCACAAAAAAAATAAACAAGGCATATTTCTAGATAATTATTTTTAAAAAAATTTAGCAAAACTTCGATGGTGAGGCTAAGTGGTCGGGTGTTGTAAACTTTAATGTATGCAAAGGAGTCTTGTGATGAGCATGCGGTTTGCTTTCAACGATGATTGAAATGACGCGCCATTTTCATCACGTTTCCTTGATTTTATTTATTTACACACGCGTTCTAATCAATTCAGAAACAAATCGTCGAAAACGATATAAAAAGTACTGAAATATCCTGAAGAATACTCGACCGTCGATAAAGTAGAAATTGAAAAACTTTTAGGGAGGAAATCCTGTTTCGTGTAGAATTAATCGCCTCTTAGACTGCCAGCAGTCTCTTATTTTTCTTTTGAGCCACAGTAGGTCGAGAGCATAATTCTACTTTTTTGCTCGCCGCGCGTGGCTCTGAGGAAAGAAGGACGAACGCGCGCGGTCTAATCGCCTCCTCATTTCTTATCTTATCTCCAAGAAAGCGAGACTCAACGCTACTAAGAGAGTTCTTGTTTGTTAAAGATTACGCAACAATGGCTATGGTCATATTTCGAGCTTCGGCCATCTATTAAAGTAGGAACAAGATATCTTTCTGGGATGCTCGTCCGGAAAATTGGATGAGAACGATCTGGTCAAGGCTTGAGTTTTATTTGACGCCTAAAAGAAACCACTCTTAATCACACAGCCAAATAAAAGTTCTAGTAATGTCTCTATATTATTAAAGATCCCGTTTCCGGCAGATAGAGATTTTTTGTCACGGATTTCTTTCTTCGGCTGGACTTCTTCGTTTATCAGCAAACATCCATTCTACACTTGGAATGTTATTTTGTACTTCACAACACTTATAATAAAACGTGTGGTTTTTAAATATTAGTTTGCTTAGGGGCTTTATTTTGCTTTTTAACGGCTGGTTGGGTAAAACTCTATTTTGTAACAGAGTTGGAGTGACACGATGTATACAGATATTTCAAGAAAGGTTGTCGAAAAAGTGCACGCGACAATCCTGAAAGGCATTGTGGGTGGTTTTAAGTTCACTGTTCTTTAAAGAAATTTGAAAGAATTGGCACGAAAGGCCGTGTTAATGTGTTTGCGAGTGCTAAAGGAAAGCAACAAAAGTAGGCTCGACAGGTACAGTCGTCAGAAACAAAGTATTGATAATATCCCGTATTATTATAAAGTTTCTTTTCTTTCTTTACTTAAAGGTATTTAATATTTAGTAGAATTACACTTTAAGCTAGACGTTCATTACTTACAGATACAGAAATAATTTATACTTGACAACGTAAAATTTCCGATTATTTTTGAAAAAAAATGAATTTGCATGCCAGGCGAACTTCCTTATTTATAAATAGTAATTTTACTACTGGCTTGCCAAACCTCCGATTATGTCAATACTTGCTGTTGTAGTTTTTTTTTTAGAAAAAAACGACATTTAGAGAGACTAATATGTAATATTTTTTGGCATTCATATTTATAAATACCTAAACATGCAAGAAATAATGATTTAAATGTCACCCATATCTAAAAATCTGTCCGATATATAAATAGCGATTTACACATGACACATTACGAATAGTTTTTTCTTGTTTATGAACAAATCTTCCAGCTATTTATAGACTCTTCATAAATAACAGACAAGCTGGCTGAATTTGGTCTAAATTTTATTGAAAATAATTAGAATATCTTATTCACAGTATAAACATACTCCACTAATTAAGCAAAAAATTACTGCCTTGCCTCATCCATTTCAATTCTGTTTATATATTTAATTTAATTTGGCAAAATGATAATAAAACAAAAATAAAGAAGACTGAAAACATCTGGCCACATGCACTTGTTGAAATAACTTCAAAGCATGATAATATATAGGTCAATGCTTTCCTAAAACGTGTAGCCTCCGAGCAAGCTATCAGGGGTGCTCTGCAACTACGTCTCTGGAATTTTATAATCTGCATCGAAAAAGTCGATGCGAAATGCTGACTGGCGAAGGTGACATTAGTTATGACGTCCTTACCCTTGCAACGTGTTTAACAATGTTTGTTTACATTCGCGCTCGTTTCCGCTTCGCGCTGATTAGCGAAAATCTGACAGTTCAATCGACGGGGAGCCACAGGGCAGTTGGAGGTTGAATTCAAATTCCAGAGACCTAGTTGCAAGCTCTCCTTCCTTTTCCCGCCCCTCAGCCAGAGCACTCCGGAGAACTTGCTCGCAGGCGCTATAAAACGTGATGAGGGAAAAACTATTCCAAAGCTTACGGCGTTTAAGGTTAAACATATTGTAGGCTGCTACAGCAAATTTCCATTTTTGCCTCAAATTACAATTCGCCTCTCTATTATAACTAAATTAACTTGTGATTAATCGAGCTGCATAGTTGGAATGTTAGCAAATACTTATAACAGTACGGTAAAACAGGCAACTAGAAACGTGCAAATTGTTTTACAACACTTGCTGCACAACGAGTTGAATAGCGACGTACAGTCAGCTCTCCCTAAGACGAACACCTTCGGGAACGGTTCCAACTGTCCGTCTTAGACAGCAGGTGTTTGGCTTATAGGTGACACCAGCAACATCTTAAGCTGAATCCATTCGCAATGTATATACGTCTGTTTAACTTATCGGAAAAACAGCTAAAACTGGAACATTGTAACAGAAGAGTGGAATCATTTTCGTATTAAGCAATCAAACATTCATTACAAGCGAACGTTAATTACGGCTTCGTGGTCTGCAAGCTTAATAGTATACACTCTGCCGACTGGAATTCGATTCATTATGGCGTTGTGAGGCTTAATTGAAAGCCAGTAAACGCAAAACGTATTTTGATCAGCGCTGCTATAGCCTTTTTCGAAGCGCTTTTCTGTTCTTGTTGTAAGTCCCTCGATATATGAGCCCTTAAACCCCCTTAGGAAGATGAATAAAAGCCAGGGCTATAATCAGAGCAACAGTTTACGGTAGCTTATCTTTTAAATAACAAAGAGCAATTCTTAGACGGTGTTTTTGAATTCAGGTAGCAGAGAAAGCTTTTCCTGTTTGATTAACCTTTTTCTGGTCAGAGCTTGATACGATGCTCTCTTTTTAAAACTGACCACAGAAATTTCAGGGGCACTAAAGGACCGAATGTCTCCAAATATGTCAAAAGTGTCTCAAATAGTTTTTTTTTGAAAGCTTTAGAAGCCTGTTTGGTTAATGTAAGGCTGCAGTAAAACCTATTTATCTGTTCGGATGTCTTAGAGAAGGTTTGGTCGTATCGGTGGCTTTTTATCTCATTCGGCGAAACTGTTAGCTACCCCGATGGGTCTGGTCCGGAAAGTTCGAGGAGATGGAATCAGCTGTACTTTCATTAGAAGATTTTGGGAGACGTTTTTTCTTTTTAACGAAATTTTAAGGAGATCTTTTTAAACAATAACCGCAATATCTTAGAAATAGAAAAAACACAACACATACTTTAAAGAAACTGAAAATAGCGCGGACACCTCAGTGATAAAACAGTTATAGAGTCATTCGTTACGCAGGAAGAGTTTTTCGCCTCGCCGGCTTCTGTTCATAGTTCGAAAACAGACTGCAGCTGATCGTAATAATCCCATGTTTGACCGAAGTGTCACGCGTTTGAAACTGAAAAATAACCAAGATATAAGATATATAAGCCAGCTCAAATCTCACTGGCCAAACGCAGGTACAGCTCAGTTTAATACGCTTATTTTGAGATATTGTGAAGAATTTGTTGTTCACCAATATTCATCCACCGTGATTAATCAGCATGAGCATAATAACATCCACCATCAGCAGCATCATTGACTCGGAGCTCTTCAAAAAATCACGTCAGCCCTTGATGTATTGCTCCATGGTAGCCTTGACGATGGGTGTCCAGGAGATTTGCCAGCAAGTTGTATTTAATTGTCCATGCAAAAGACACTTCGAGTATGGGCTGGCATTTTTATGCGGACCAGCTATTCTTTTGTTTTTCCTAGGCATTTTCCTGAATGACACTCTATGCCGTACTGGCCCTGAAAGGGACACCGAGAAAGCCATGAGAAGCCCTGTATGTCACTATTTCAAGTTACTGTTCACTATATTCTATGCAATGACACTAGCAAGCGTCGCTCCAGTTGCCTGGTTGGTTCTATCTTTCTTGCAACAGCAGTACTACACATGCGCATACTTTGGACCTCCTCTTGCCGATAGAATTTCAACTGCTACAAATGCGACATACAAGTGCCCTTTTAAGGTCGGCTTTCGATCAAAAGAGATGGAAGAAACCTACAAAACCGACAGCCAGATTGCAGGCTGGTCACTCATGATCATATTCGTGCTCGTCCTTGTCATTTCCATCTGCATACGTCAATGCATGAAAAAAGGAAAGCGTCTAAAAATACCGAGTTCTGAATACTACCGCCATGTTGAAGCCCAAGAAGCCGTTGAGCAGTACCACGCCATTGCATTGGAACTTGCCAAAGAAAAAGCAAAGATGTACATTGAAAATTTGTTCCCAAAAAGGAAGAGGCTTGGAGGTCTCTATTCCTATTTGAAAGACATTGGAGATAAAGTTCGCAAAGAATACGATCATTATTTAGACATACCACCGGCCAGCCACCAGAGTACCCCAGTTGACCCCCCTCAAAATTCCCCTGATGGTGTGATTACACCTGAGCTAGTGGAAGAGGTAGATGGACCAGGAGAAACACAATTTGAAAATGCAGCCCTTCTGTAGTGGTGAAGATCTGCCACTAATATCACCTGCCCGAACTGATCCATCGGAGAACCCCGGTGAAGTACCATTGATAATTTAAAGACAGAAGATTAGTTGTCAAGATTCTATTGACATGAACTGAAAGTATTCACCGTGTGCGATAAAGCTCAATATATATTTCAAGGATATTTCGTAAATTCATGAGCCAATACGTGATATGCTCCTGGTAAATGTGATTATTTGACGTAAAGCTTAATTTTTTTGCTTCAACGCGTATATTTCAATATTTAAAAATATCTCTTTCTAACATTTACTTATGTGATGGAGACTTAATATTTGTAATATGTTTAATATGCTAATTTTTTATTTCACTCGCCGCAGTTGAAAATGAGCTCGGAGAAATCGAAATGTCCCGAGTGACTTTTAAGCGTTAACGTTAATCACGAAATGTATGTCCAAAAAATTTCCCAAGATATTTATTTCGTTAACTTCAAATTTTACTCGTTTCTAGCTAGGATCCAGTGAGGCGCAAAACATGTTATCACTTCTAGCATAATGACACGCATTCTTGACTGGTTGTTACGTTATTTAGGGCCCACTGAGACAAAATTTGGACATTGGCCTGTAAGTGCGGTAATTGGTTGGTTTAGTTTGTGACGGGAAAACAAGCAAAGTGAAGGACGGCAACGTTAAAACACGGGAAGTCGAAATATGGTCAGGTCCAGGCTCTCCTGTCGTCAAATGACGTTCCTGTCTGTTGTTAGATGACTCTATTCAGTCGCTTGAGAATAACGCGTTTTTAATGAAAAACATACATTTGGCTCATAATATTTCATTTCACCATGATATATATTTAAATGTGAAAAACTGTAAGAATCGATTCTACCGTTTCAATAAAACCTTAAGAATCGAAAATAAAATAAAGGGGTTTCACTGACCACAAGTTTGGGTACGTGTAGTTTTCCGGTTCCTCGTTTTTCGCAAAAAAAACATGCTCATTTTTCTTTAAAATGCCGAGTTTTTTCGAGTGATTCATAAAAATAGCCCCTGCACTTCAGTCTTCTTGCTGAGGAAAAGTCTACTTCCGGCCCAAAATACTTCCTAAAACGTCTTAAAGCTAAGCGTTTCTTAAAACGCGCACTTTTTGGCCCAGAAAAGTTGTGTTTACTAAAAGTTTTGTTATGATTTTGCGTGCTCACAGGCTCGCTCGAAAAGTATTAAGGAGAGTTTTCGTTATAACTGAGCATGACTGTCTTTTAAAGGAGCTGTGTCACGAAATTCAGCCAAGTTAGGCAATGACAAAATGCCCGTTAAATTAAGAGAAACATAAAAATAACCGCTTAAAGCTTTAAAGGAAGATTAAAATAACATAACAGAAACAACAGATGCCACGGATGGGCAAAATTGAAGAAGATTGAAACGGATTGAAATTAGGGTTTTTGAAAACTGTTCAGCCTAACAGTTTTTCAAAGTTGATCCCTGCTGCTTGCAACTTCCAAAATAATGCTCAGGAGACATCTTTGTTTGTCACGGATCTCTGATTTTGTCATTTACATGTAATTTCTCTACTTACTTTAAGTTCCATAGCGATTGGGGCGAGTAATTGGCAAAATTAAACAGAATAAACTGGACTGCCGTGACACAACCCCTTTAATTTACGTATAATTTTTGCTGGCTCAGAATGAAACCAGGATTAAATTTATTCCTAGCGAGCCTTTCAGTCCGGTGAAAAATTATCGATAGAGATGCAAACGCCTCAGAGGTGTTCCCCTATTTCGCCCCATTAAAGGGACTCCGGATTCTGGAATCCGACGAAGTTTTGCTTGTGGAATCAGGATTCCCGGAATTTTTTTCTTGTGGATTCCGGAATCCTGGGCTTTGGAATCCGGAGTACAGCTCAAGGGATCCGGAATCCACTAACGATTGGAATCCGGAATCCAAGTTGTACCGGCCAATAATCCGGAATCAGGAGCCCGTTATGTCACGACGTTTTTGCGGACCAGTTTATTTTATTTTAGACACATTTAATTTTAGGGCATTTTTTCCCGCGAAAATAGAAACTCCACCATGTTTAAGAGCACATTCCCGCGGAAGTATAAGATATCAAAAAGGAAAACTAAACGTTATTAAAAGGCAAAAAACATCATTTTTAGGTCTGTAGGTTTTGCTGACTGGTTTGTGGAATTTAAAAGATATTCAAATCTCGCACCAAAACCGTTCTAAAAATAAACTGGTCCGTGAAATCATCGTGACACGAGCGTATGGAAGTTGCTCGCTCCGGGCTAAGGGCTCCCGCCGGAATCCAGAACCTGCAATCCGGAATGCACGACGTGGAATCCAGGATCCAAGACTGTCTTTGATTACCTTATATGGGGCGAACTATTTCCTTTCCATCCAAACAACCGATCTTGAATGCTTTAAAAATGTTTCTACAATTTATCATAGCCTTTTTGGATGATTCAGCGGTAATATAAATGGGCTGTGACACGGCTGGCTAGAAAAAACCAACAGAAACATCTGTTACCGAGTTTTGCTACAAAAGCGTGAATTTACTCCTAGAGCAACTCATAAACATTAAAGTAATACTTTTTCTAATACTTGAACTGTTTAGATAGCAAAATTCATCGAAAAAAGTCACTTTTTTAACCTAAACGCAAGCTCTCTCGGCCGTCCTTTATTTCCTTTATGTCAAACATCCATTCTACACTTGGAATGTTATTTTGCAGTTCACAACACTAATAAAACGTGTGGCTTTAAAAAATGAGTTTGTTTAGGGGTTTTATTTTGCTTTTTAACTGTTGGTTGCGTAAAACTCTATTTTGTAATAGAGTTGCACGCGCGGAGTGAGACGATGTATAAATCAAAACTTTGTGTTATGTACTGTATCACACGACATCCATATTGAATCTAACCTCTTGATTTATTCTATCCCAAGATGAGTAGGGTACTTTCATGATAGCATACATGACACTTTGCACTTGGCAAGATGAAGTTTCTTTTTCTTTGTGTACTTAATATTTAGTAGAATTACGCAGAAATAATTTATACTTGACAACCTGAAATTTCCGATTATTTTTGAAAAATGAATTTGCATGCCAGGCGAACTTCATTATGTATAAATAATGATTTTGCTACTGGCTTGCCAAACCTCCGATTATGTCATTACTTGTTGTTGTCGTTTTATTTAAAAAAAGCGACATCATCATCTTAAAAGATCTTGCCTCATCATCTTAAAAGATGTCCTGTTTATAAATTTAGAGGCACTAATATGTAATATTTTTTGGCATTCATATTTATAAATATCTATACATGCAAGAAATAATGAGTTACATGTCACCCATATCTAAAAATCTGTCCGATATATAAATAGCGATTTACACATGACACATTACGAATAGTTTTTTCTTGTTTATGAACAAATCTTCCGGCTATTTATAGACTCTTTATAAATAACGGAAAAGCTGGCTGAATTTGGTCTAAATTTTATTGAAAATAATTAGAATATCTTATTCACAGTATAAACATACTCTACTAATTAAGCAAAAAATTACTGCCTTGCCTCATCCATTTCAATTTTGTTTATATATTTAATTTAATTTGGCAAAATGATAATAAAACAAAAATACATAAGACTGAAAACATTTGGCCACATGCACTTGTTGAAATAACTTCAAAGCATGATAATAGGTCAATGCTTTCCTAAAACGTGTAGCCTCCGAGCAAGCTATCAGGGGTGCTCTGCAACTACGTCTCTGGAATTTTATAATCTGCATCGAGAAAGTCGATGCGAAATGCTGACTGGCGAAGGTGACATTAGTTATGACGTCATTACCCTTGCAACGTGTTTTACAATGTTTGTTTGCATTCGCGCTCGTTTCCGCTTCGCGCTGATTAGCGAAAATCTGACAGTTCAATCGACGGGGAGCCACAGGGCAGTTGGAGGTTGAATTCAAATTCCAGAGACCTAGTTGCAAGCTCTCCTTCCTTTTCCCGCCCCTCAGCCAGAGCACTCCGGAGAACTTGCTCGCAGGCGCTATAAAACGTGATGAGGGAAAAACTATTCCAAAGCTTACGGCGTTTAAGGTTAAACATATTGTAGGCTGCTACAGCAAATTTCCATTTTTGCCTCAAATTACAATTCGCCTCTCTATTATAACTAAATTAACTTGTGATTAATCGAGCTGCATAGTTGGAATGTTAGCAAATACTTATAACAGTACGGTAAAACAGGCAACTAGAAACGTGCAAATTGTTTTACAACACTTGCTGCACAACGAGTTCAATAGCGACGTACAGTCAGCTCTCCCTAAGACGAACACCTTCGGGAACGGTTCCAACTGTCCGTCTTAGACAGGTGTTTGGCTTATAGGTGACACCAGCAACATCTTAAGCTGAATCCATTCGCAATGTATATACGTCTGTTTAACTTATCGGAAAAACAGCTAAAACTGGAACATTGTAACAGAAGAGTGGAATCATTTTCGTATTAAGCAATCAAACATTCATTACAAGCGAACGTTAATTACGGCTTCGTGGTCTGCAAGCTTAATAGTATACACTCTGCCAAGTGGAATTCGATTCATTATGGCGTTGTGAGGCTTAATTGAAAGCCAGTAAACGCAAAACGTATTTTGACCAGCGCTGCTATAGCCTTTTTCGAAGCGCTTTTCTGTTCTTGTTGTAAGCCCCTCGATATATGAGCCCTTAAACCCCCTTAGGAAGATGAATAAAAGCCAGGGCTATAATCAGAGCGACAGTTTACGGTAGCTTATCTTTTAAATAACAAAGAGCAATTCTTAGACGGTGTTTTTGAATTCAGGTAGCAGAGAAAGCTTTTCCTGTTTGATTAACCTTTTTCTGGTCAGAGCTTGATACGATGCTCTCTTTTTAAAACTGACCACAGAAATTTCAGGGGCACTAAAGGACCGAATGTCTCCAAATATGTCAAAAGTGTCTCAAATAGTTTTTTTTTTAATGCTTTAGAAGCCTGTTTGGTTAATGTAAGGCTGCAGTAAAACCTATTTATCTGTTCGGATGTCTTAGAGAAGGTTTGGTCGTATCGGTGGCTTTTTATCTCATTCGGCGAAACTGTTACCTACCCCGATGGGTCCGGTCGAAAGTTCGAGGAGATGGAATAGCTGTACTTTCATTAGAAGATTTTGGGAGACGTTTTTTCTTTTTAACGAAATTTTAAGGAGATCTTTTTAAACAATAACCGCAATATCTTACAAATAGAAAAAACACAACACATACTTTAAAGAAACTGAAAATAGCGCGGACACCTCAGTGATAAAACAGTTATAGAGTCATTCGTTACGCAGGAAGAGTTTTTCGCCTCGCCGGCTTCTGTTCATAGTTCGAAAACAGACTGCAGCTGATCGTAATAATCCGATGTTTGACCGAAGTGTCACGCGTTTGAAACTGAAAAATAACCAAGATATAAGATATATAAGCCAGCTCAAATCTCACTGGCCAAACGCAGGTACAGCGCAGTTTAATACGCTTATTTTGAGATATTGTGAAGAATTTGTTGTTCACCAATATTCATCCACCGTGATTAATCAGCATGAGCATAATAACATCCACCATCAGCAGCATCATTGACTCGGAGCTCTTCAAAAAATCACGTCAGCCCTTGATGTATTGCTCCATGGTAGCCTTGACGATGGGTGTCCAGGAGATTTGCCAGCAAGTTGTATTTAATTGTCCATGCAAAAGACACTTCGAGTATGGGCTGGCATTTTTATGCGGACCAGCTATTCTTTTGTTTTTCCTAGGCATTTTCCTGAATGACACTCTATGCCGTACTGGCCCTGAAAGGGACACCGAGAAAGCCATGACAAGCCCTCTATGTCACTATTTCAAGTTACTGTTCACTATATTCTATGCAGTGACACTAGCAAGCGTCGCTCCAGTTGCCTGGTTGGTTCTATCTTTCTTGCAACAGCAGTACTACACATGCGCATACTTTGGACCTCCTCTTGCCGATAGAATTTCAACTGCTACAAATGCGACATACAAGTGCCATTTTAAGGTCGGCTTTCGATCAAAAGAGATGGAAGAAACCTACAAAACCGACAGTCAGATTGCAGGCTGGTCACTCATGATCATATTCGTGATCGTCCTTGTCATTTCCATCTGCATACGTCAATGCATGAAAAAAGGAAAGCGTCTAAAAATACCGAGTTCTGAATACTACCGCCATGTTGAAGCCCAAGAAGCCGTTGAGCAGTACCACGCCATTGCATTGGAACGTGCCAAAGAAAAAGCAAAGATGTACATTGAAAATTTGTTCCCAAAAAGGAAGAGGCTTGGAGGTCTCTATTCCTATTTGAAAGACATTGGAGATAAAGTTCGCAAAGAATACGATCATTATTTAGACATACCACCGGACAGCCACCAGAGTACCCCAGTTGACCCCCCTCAAAATTCCCCTGATGGTGTGATTACACCTGAGCTAGTGGAAGAGGTAGATGGACCAGGAGAAACACAATTTGAAAATGCAGCCCTTCTGTAGTGGTGAAGATCTGCCACTAATATCACCTCCCCGAACTGATCCATCGGAGAACCCCGGTGAAATACCATTGATAATTTAAAGACAGAAGATTAGTTGTCAAGATTCTATTGACATGAACTGAAAGTATTAACCGTGTGCGATAAACCTCAATATATATTTCAAGGATATTTCGGATATTCATGAGCCAATACGTGATATGCTCCTGGTAAATGTGATTATTGGACGTAAAGCTTAATTTTTTTGCTTCAACGCGTATATTTCAATATTTAAAAATATCTCTTTCTAACATTTACTTATGTGATGGAGACTTAATATTTGTAATATGTTTAATATGCTAATTTTTTATTTCACTCGCCGCAGTTGAAAATGAGCTCGGAGAAATCGAAATGTCCCGAGTGACTTTTAAGCGTTAACGTTAATCACGAAATGTATGTCCAAAAAATTTCCCAAGATATTTATTTCGTTAACTTCAAATTTTACTCGTTTCTAGCTAGGATCCAGTGAGGCGCAAAACATGTTATCACTTCTAGCATAATGACACGCATTCTTGACTGGTTGTTACGTTATTTAGGGCCCACTGAGACAAAATTTGGACATTGGCCTGTAAGTGCGGTGATTGGTTGGTTTAGTTTGTGACGGGAAACCAAGCAAAGTGAAGGACGGCAACGTTAAAACACGGGAAGTCGAAATATGGTCAGGTCCAGGCTCTCCTGCCGTCAAATGACGTTCTTGTCTGTTGTTAGATGACTCTATTCAGTCGCTTGAGAATAACGCGTTTTTAATGAAAAACATACATTTGGCTCATAATATTTAATTTCACGATGATATATATTTAAATGTGAAAAACTGTAAGAATCGATTTTACCGTTTCAATAAAACCTTAAGAATCGAAAATAAAATAAAGGGGTTTCACTGACCACAAGTTTGGGTACGTGTAGTTTTCCGGTTCCTCGTTTTTCGCAAAAAAACAGGCTCATTTTTGTTTAAAATGCCGTGTTTTTTCGAGTGATTCATAAAAATAGCCCCTGCACTTCAGTCTTCTTGCTGAGGAAAAGTCTACTTCGGGCCCAAAATACTTCCTAAAACGTGTTAAAGCTAAGCGTTTCTTAAAACGCGCACTTTTTGGCCCAGAAAAGTTGTGTTTACTAAAAGTTTTGTTATGACTTTGGGTGCTCACAGGCTCGCTCGAAAAGTATTAAGAAGAGTTTTCGTTATAACTGAGCATGGCTGTCTTTTAAAGGAGCTGTGTCACGAAATTCAGCCAAGTTAGGCAATGACAAAATGCCCGTTAAATTAAGAGAAACATAAAAATAACCGCTTAAAACTTTAAAGGAAGGTTAAAATAACATAACAGAAACAACGGATGCCACGGATGGGCAAAATTGAAGAAGATTGAAACGGATTGAAATTAGGATTTTTGGACACTGTTCAGCCTAACAGTTTTTCAAAGTTGATCCCTGCTGCTTGCAACTTCCAAAATAATGCTCAGGAGACATCTTTGTTTGTCACGGATCTCTGATTTTGTCATTTACATATAATTTCTCTACTTACTTTAAGTTCCATAGCGATTGGGGCGAGTAATTGACAAAATTAAACAGAATAAACTGGACTGCCGTGACACAATCCCTTTACAGTCAAACCAGGTCAAGCGTTCCCGTCGCTAACGAACTAATGAATTCATTCACGGAAAAATGATTTCGTTTGTTGATTCAATAATCCATTCATAAAATGAACAATCCAATAGTCATATTTAGCCTCGATTCCATAATCGAATGTTGATTCGATTACTGTTTTTTGAAAAATTACACTTTCCACAAGTTGACCTCAGAATTTTGTTTTTTCCTCTTTTTTTTCTGAGAGTCGAGTGCTGGCGAGTTCTGAAGTTCAAACCCAAACAAACTGTTACATGAACGCCAGTTTGCTGCCAATAATCAGTGCAACAGACCTAGGCCTGACCTCTTAGAAAACACGACGGTCAAACTGAGGTCAGTGTATGTGCGGTGATTGGTGGATTTCGATCCTCGGCCTTTGTCAGTTTCTTTGCGTTTGCGGTCTGTCTATTCTAGCTGTTATTTTGATTAAAGGCAATGAAAAACGCAATCGTAAACGGCAGGAAAAGGGAAGCAAATACGATTGAACACAACGGACAAGAATAAAGAACAGGTAGATTTTGTTCATAAACCAAATCAACATTTGATTATTGAATCGAGGTACAATTTGACCGTTGGATTATTCATTTTGTGAATAGATTATTGAATCAACAAACGAAATCATTTTTCCATTAATGAATTCATTAGTTTGTTAGCGACGGGAACGCTTGACCTGGTTTGACTGTAATTTACGTATAATTTTTGCTGGCTGAGAATGAAAACAGGGTTAAATTTATTCCTAGCGAGCCTTTCAGTCCGGTGAAAAATTATCGATAGAGATGCAAACGCCTCAGAGGTGTTCCCCGATTTCGCCCCATTAAAGGGACTCCGGATTCTGGAATCCGACGAAGGTTTGCTTGTGGAATCCGGATTCCCGGAATTTTTTTCTTGTGGGTTCCGGAATCCTGGGTTTTGGAATCCGGAGTACAGCTCAAGGGATCCGGAATCCACTAACGATTGGAATCCGGAATCCAAGTTGTACCGGCCAATAATCCGGAATCAGGACCCCATAACTAGGAGTGAGCAACTCCCATACTAGGCCTATGTCACGACGTTTCTGCGGACCAGTTTATTTTATTTTAGACACTTTTAATTTTAGGGCATTTTTTCCCGCGAAAATAGAAACTCCACCATGTTTAAGAGCACATTCCCGCGGAAGAATAAGATATCAAAAAGGAAAACTAAACGTTATTAAAAGGCAAAAAATATCATTTTTAGGTCTGTAGGTTTTGCTGACTGGTTTGTGGAATTTAAAAGATATTCAAATTTCGCACCAAAACCGTTCTAAAAATAAACTGGTCCGTGAAATCATCGTGACACGAGCGTATGGAAGTTGCTCGCTCCGGGCTAAGGGCTCCCGCCGGAATCCAGAACCTGCAATCCGGAATGCACGACGTGGAATCCAGGATCCAAGACTGTCTTTGATTACCTTATATGGGGCGAACTATTTCCTTTCCATCCAAACAACCGATCTTGAATGCTTTAAAAATGTTTCTACAATTTATCATAGCCTTTTTGGATGATTCAGCGGTAATATAAATGGGCTGTGACACGGCTGGCTAGAAAAAACCAACAGAAACATCTGTTACCGAGTTTTGCTACAAAAGCGTGAATTTACTCCTAGAGCAACTCATAAACATTAAAGTAATACTTTTTCTAATACTTGAACTGTTTAGATAGCAAAATTCATCGAAAAAAGTCACTTTTTTAACCTAAACGCAAGCTCTCTCGGCCGTCCTTTATTTCCTTTATTTCAAACATCCATTCTACACTTGGAATGTTATTTTGCAGTTCACAACACTAATAAAACGTGTGGCTTTAAAAAATGAGTTTGTTTAGGGGTTTTATTTTGCTTTTTAACTGTTGGTTGCGTAAAACTCTATTTTGTAATAGAGTTGCACGCGCGGAGTGAGACGATGTATAAATCAAAACTTTGTGTTATGTACTGTATCACACGACATCCATATTGAATCTAACCTCTTGATTTATTCTATCCCAAGATGAGTAGGGTACTTTCATGATAGCATACATGACACTTTGCACTTGGCAAGATGAATTTTCTTTTTCTTTGTGTACTTAATATTTCGTAGAATTACGCAGAAATAATTCATACTTGACAACCTGAAATTTCCGATTATTTTTGAAAAATGAATTTGCATGCCAGGCGAACTTCATTATGTATAAATAATGATTTTGCTACTGGCTTGCCAAACCTCCGATTATGTCATTACTTGTTGTTGTCGTTTTATTTAAAAAAAGCGACATCATAATCTTAAAAGATCTTGCCTCATCATCTTAAAAGATGTCCTGTTTATAAATTTAGAGGCACTAATATGTAATATTTTTTGGCATTCATATTTATAAATATCTATACATGCAAGAAATAATGATTTACATGTCAACCATCTCTAAAAATCTGTCCGATATATAAATAGCGATTTACACATGACACATTACGAATAGTTTTTTCGTGTTTATGAACAAATCTTCCAGCTATTTATAGACTCTTTATAAATAACGGAAAACCTGGCTGAATTTGGTCTAAATTTTATTGAAAATAATTAGAATATCTTATTCACAGTATAAACATACTCTACTAATTAAGCAAAAAATTACTGCCTTGCCTCATCCATTTCAATTTTGTTTATATATTTAATTTAATTTGGCAAAATGATAATAAAACAAAAATACATAAGACTGAAAACATTTGGCCACATGCACTTGTTGAAATAACTTCAAAGCATGATAATATATAGGTCAATGCTTTCCTAAAACGTGTAGCCTCCGAGCAAGCTATCAGGGGTACTCTGCAACTACGTCTCTGGAATTTTATAATCTGCATCGAGAAAGTCGATGCGAAATGCTGACTGGCGAAGGTGACATTAGTTATGACGTCCTTACCCTTGCAACGTGTTTTACAATGTTTGTTTGCATTCGCGCTCGTTTCCGCTTCGCGCTGATTAGCGAAAATCTGACAGTTCAATCGACGGGGAGCCACAGGGCAGTTGGAGGTTGAATTCAAATTCCAGAGACGTAGTTGCAAGCTCTCCTTCCTTTTCCCGCCCCTCAGCCAGAGCACTCCGGAGAGCTTGCTCGCAGGCGCTATAAAACGTGATGAGGGAAAAACTATTCCAAAGCTTACGGCGTTTAAGGTTAAACATATTGTAGGCTGCTACAGCAAATTTCCATTTTTGCCTCAAATTACAATTCGCCTCTCTATTATAACTAAATTAACTTGTGATTAATCGAGCTGCATAGTTGGAATGTTAGCAAATACTTATAACAGTACGGTAAAACAGGCAACTAGAAACGTGCAAATTGTTTTACAACACTTGCTGCACAACGAGTTGAATAGCGACGTACAGTCAGCTCTCTCTAAGACGAACACCTTCGGGAACGGTTCCAACTGTCCGTCTTAGACAGGTGTTTGGCTTATAGGTGACACCAGCAACATCTTAAGCTGAATCCATTCGCAATGTATATACGTCTGTTTAACTTATCGGAAAAACAGCTAAAACTGGAACATTGTAACAGAAGAGTGGAATCATTTTCGTATTAAGCAATCAAACATTCATTACAAGCGAACGTTAATTACGGCTTCGTGGTCTGCAAGCTTAATAGTATACACTCTGCCAAGTGGAATTCGATTCATTATGGCGTTGTGAGGCTTAATTGAAAGCCAGTAAACGCAAAACGTATTTTGACCAGCGCTGCTATAGCCTTTTTCGAAGCGCTTTTCTGTTCTTGTTGTAAGCCCCTCGATATATGAGCCCTTAAACCCCCTTAGGAAGATGAATAAAAGCCAGGGCTATAATCAGAGCGACAGTTTACGGTAGCTTATCTTTTAAATAACAAAGAGCAATTCTTAGACGGTGTTTTTGAATTCAGGTAGCAGAGAAAGCTTTTCCTGTTTGATTAACCTTTTTCTGGTCAGAGCTTGATACGATGCTCTCTTTTTAAAACTGACCACAGAAATTTCAGGGGCACTAAAGGACCGAATGTCTCCAAATATGTCAAAAGTGTCTCAAATAGTTTTTTTTTTAATGCTTTAGAAGCCTGTTTGGTTAATGTAAGGCTGCAGTAAAACCTATTTATCTGTTCGGATGTCTTAGAGAAGGTTTGGTCGTATCGGTGGCTTTTTATCTCATTCGGCGAAACTGTTAGCTACCCCGATGGGTCCGGTCGAAAGTTCGAGGAGATGGAATAGCTGTACTTTCATTAGAAGATTCTGGGAGAAGTTTTTTCTTTTTAACGAAATTTTAAGGAGATCTTTTTAAACAATAACCGCAATATCTTACAAATAGAAAAAACACAACACATACTTTAAAGAAACTGAAAATAGCGCGGACACCTCAGTGATAAAACAGTTATAGAGTCATTCGTTACGCAGGAAGAGTTTTTCGCCTCGCCGGCTTCTGTTCATAGTTCGAAAACAGACTTCAGCTGATCGTAATAATCCCATGTTTGAACGAAGTGTCACGCGTTTGAAACTGAAAAGTAACCAAGATATAAGATGTATAAGCCAGCTCAAATCTCACTGGCCAAACGCAGGTACAGCGCAGTTTAATACGCTTATTTTGAGATATTGTGAAGAATTTGTTGTTCACCAATATTCATCCACCGTGATTAATCAGCATGAGCATAATAACATCCACCATCAGCAGCATCATTGACTCGGAGCTCTTCAAAAAATCACGTCAGCCCTTGATGTATTGCTCCATGGTAGCCTTGACGATGGGTGTCCAGGAGATTTGCCAGCAAGTTGTATTTAATTGTCCATGCAAAAGACACTTCGAGTATGGGCTGGCATTTTTATGCGGACCAGTTATTCTTTTGTTTTTCCTAGGCATTTTCCTGAATGACACTCTATGCCGTACTGGCCCTGAAAGGGACACCGAGAAAGCCATGAGAAGCCCTGTATGTCACTATTTCAAGTTACTGTTCACTATATTCTATGCAATGACACTAGCAAGCGTCGCTCCAGTTGCCTGGTTGGTTCTATCTTTCTTGCAACAAAAGTACTACACATGCGCATACTTTGGACCTCCCGTCGATAGAATCTCAACTGCTACAAATGCAACTGACAGATGCCATTTTAAGCTGGGCTTTCGATCAAAAGAGATGGAAGAAACCTACAAAACCAACAGTCAGATTGCAGGCTGGTCACTCATGATCATATTCGTGCTCGTCCTTGTCATTTCCATCGGCATAAGTCAATGCATGAAAAAAGGAAAGCGTCTGAAAATACCGAGTTCTAAATACTACCACCATGTTGAAGCCCAAGAAGCTGTTGAGCAGTACCACGCCATTGCACTGGAACGCGTCAAAGAACAAGCAAAGATGGTTATTGAAAATTTGTTCGCCGAAATGGAGGGCCATACACGTGTCTATTCCTATTTGAAAGGCGTTGCAGATAAAGTTCGCAATGCATACAAAGAGTATTTAGACATACCACTGACGAGGCAACAAAGTACCTCAGATGACTCCCATCACATTCCCATTGATCTAGTCGATGGACAAAGAAAAATACACCCTGAAATGCAGCCCTCCTACAGTGGTGAAGATCTGCCACTAATATCACCTGCCCGAACTGATCCATCGAAGAACCTCAGAGAAGTACCATCGATAAAGATAGAAGATTAATTGTCAAGATTCTATTGACATGCGCTTAAAGTATTCACCGAGTACGATAAAGTACATATTTGAGAATACTTCATGGAAAGTGCTGGCGTACGGTATTTACGCACGAGTTGTTGAAGTATCAGAAATCGAACGAGTGAGCGCAGCGAACGAGTAAGATTTCTGATACAAGAACAACGAGTGCGTAAATACCGTACGCTAGCACTTTCCATGAGGTATTGTGTTTATTATATACATACTGAGACATTCATCATTTTGGTGGCCTTTTTATTTTAAATCTTTCAAAAATGATAAAATTTGCCGCTACACACTTACCACAAAATGACAACGAAAACGAAGTATCAGCTTTTTAGTAAAAACGTTTGTTAAAAACATGAATGACGGTGAGGATATGAGGTAATCTAAGAACTATAAGTAATCTTAACTGTTTGTTCTCAACCCACAATTGAAAATGAGTGAATTTAAGTAAAATGGCCGGTTTCAATATAAGCTAAAGCTTAAAATGAAAGGCAAAGTAGCTCCGACAACAAGCACAACAAGAGCTTACGTCTCGTTCTGTTTATCCCTTTCCGCTGTTGTTTCTCCGGCTCTCTACCGTTTTCTTTATCGACAGTGAAACAAAAGAAACTATTCCAATCCATTTCCGAAATGTTTTTCACTTTTTTAGCGAGAAAAACTCTTTGAGTAAAACTTTTCTCGTTGAATGTGTGCGAAGTGGCGCTGCAAGCTGCAATAAGAGGCGGGAATTTTGGCGCGAAACTCACACACCTGTGTGGCTTCTGATTGGACGTATCATTTTTCTCACACGTGAAAAAACATCGTTCGCGATTCTGATTGGACGTATCATTTTTTTCACGTGTGAAAACCATCGTTCGCTCCTCTGATTGGCTAGAACTAATTTGCGTACGAAAATTTACGACATAGCTTTTTGGTGAGTATTTCTCAGTATGTATATAATAAATTTCAGTATTTAATTAAAAATATATCTTTCTAACATTTACTTTTATGATGGAGACTATATTTGTAATATATTTAATATGCTAATTTTGTATTTCAATCGCAGTTGAAAATGAGCTCGGAGAGTTCGAAATGTCCCGAGTGACTTTTTAGCGTTAACGTTAATCACGAAATGTATATCCAAAAAATTCCTCAAGACATTTATTTCGTCAACTTCAAATTTTACTCGTTTTTAGGATTCAGTGAGGCGCAAAACATATTATCACTTCTGACATAATGACATGCATTCTTGACTGGTTGTTACGTTATTTAGGACCCACTGAGACAAAATTTGGACATTGGCCTGTAAGTGCGGTGATTGGTTGGCTTAGTTTGTGACGGGAAAACAAGCAAAGTGCCGTCCTGAACTTTTTGCAAGGACGGCAACGTTAAAACACCGGAAGTTGAAATATGGTCAGGTCCAGGCCCTCCTGTCGCCAAATGACGTTCCTGTCTGTTGTTAAATGACTCTATTCAGTCGCTTGACGATAACGCGTTTTTAATGAAAAACATACATTTGGCTCATAATATTTATTTTTATGATGATATTTATTTAAATGTGAAAAACTGTAAGCATAGATTTTTCCGTTTCAATAAAACCTTAAGAATCGAAAAGAAAATAAAGGTGTTTCACTGACCACAAGATTGTAGTTTTCCGGTTCCTCGTTATTCGCAAAAAAAAACATGCTCATTTTTCTTTAAAATGCCGTGTTTTTTCGAGTGATTCATAAAAATAGCCCCTGCACTTCAGTCTTCTTGCTGAGGAAAAGTCTACTTCCGACCCAAAATACTTCCTAAAACGTCTTAAAGCTAACGTTTCTTAAAAACGCACACTTTCTGGCCCAGAAAAATTGTGTTTACTAAAAATTTTTTCTATAATTTCGGGTGCTCACAGGCTCGCTCGAAAAGTCTTAAGAAGAGTTTTCGTTATAACGTATAATTTTTGCTGACTGAGAATGAAAACAGGATGAAATTTATTGCTGGCGAGCCTTTCAGTCCGGTGAAAAATTATGGATATAGATGCAAACGCCTCAGAGATGTTCCCCTATTTCGCCCCATGAAAGGGAATCCGGATTCTGGAATCTTAGGAAGTTTTGCTTGTGGAATCCGGAATAGCGAATTTTTTTTGTTGAATCCAGAATCCTGGGCTTTGGAATCCAGAGTACAGCTCAAGGGATCCGGAATTCCACTAACGATTGGGATCCGGAATCCAAGTTGTACCGGCAAATAATCCGGAATCAGGAGCCCATAACCAGGTGTGAGCAACTCCCATACTAGGCGTATGTCACGGCGTTTTACGAACCAGTTTGTTTTATTTTAGACACATTTAAGGGCATTTTTTCCCGGCGAAAATGAAACTCCACCATAAACATTTATAAGCACATTCCCGCGGAAGTATAAGATATCAAAAAGGAAAACTAAAAGGCTAAAAGGCTAAAAATATCATTTTTAGATCTGTAGGTTTTGCTGACTGGTTTGCGGAATTTAAAAGATATTCAAATTTCGCGCCAAAACCGTTCTAAAAATAAACTGGTCTGTGAAATCGCCGTGACACGAGCGCATGGAAGTTGCCCGCTCCGGGTTATGGGCTCCTGCCGGAATCCAGAACCTGCAATCCTGAATGCACGACGTGGAATCCAGAATCCAAGACTGTCTTTGATTACCTTATATGGGGCGACCTATTTCCTTATCCATGTTTCCATCCAACCAGCTGATCTTGGATGCTTTAAAAATGTTTCCACAATTTATCATAGCCTTTTTGGATGATTCAGCGGTCATATAAATGGGCTGTGACTTGTGAATGACAAGATCACAGTCATGACAAACATACTTGTCTCCAGAGCATTAAACAGGGACACCCAGCGACTGTAAAATGTCTGTTCGGAGATGCAAATATTGCCTAGAATTTTCTATCAGTTCGGGACGTCTAAAAATTTCTAGATGACCGTTCTACTCATGTACAATTTTATACAATAAATTCCGTACGATTTTACGAAGCTTAATTTTTCACACTTCACCGCCCAGGTTAAGCTATTTTCGTACCAAAAAGGAAACCTTAATTCAAAAATATGATGGAGAGAGTTAAATTACATCTAAAATGTTCGAGGAAGTAATAATGAGCTCTTGTACGTAATTTCAAAAAAATTGACTTTTCCTAGAATGACCAAACAGATACAAATTTTATAGCTCCCCTTGGAATGCATTTCTGGGTATCTTAAAAGGACCTTGATGATAGCCTAAAAAGTCAGTGTTTTCAATGTATTGTAGAGCAAACTGTCGGTGGGTGACCCCGATTAAATAAGACGTTATACTAACAACAGAAATGAACTTTAGCTTTGATTTTAGACTGTTGGTTTACCAAAACCACAATCAGTGCAATCCGCTTCAATCTCCTAGAGGTTTTTCCATCTGTTCTACGTTCGTTTTATACCTTCATTTGTAAGAGGCTATTTCAATTAATGTTTGAGCCAAAAATTTCCGCTAAAAATTCGCCGGTGAAAGAGTTAATTTTTTGGCAGATCCCTGACTGTTTGAATATTGATAAATTTCGTGACACAGCTCCTTTAATGTTAGCTAGATACCCGGGAGGGTACTTTAGGAATTTTTGTCTGGGGATGTGCCGCAGGGACCCTTGAATCCTTAGCCTACACTAGAGCTAGTTCAGCTGAATTTTCCTATTTGGGGAGTTTATTCTAGTATATATAGGGTCCCCCCTCCCTTTATCCTAGAGTAGCTGTTTTCCAGAAACTACTGACTGACAGAGTTCACTAGCACAGTCTAGCCAAAACAAAACTGATTTGAATTTTTTATGTTATTGAGTGGTAATTCCCGGTTTCCCTAGTCGAGACTAAAATCTTTAAACAATTGATCAGTTTCCTGGAAAATGATACCCAATTCTAGACCCAATCTCTCTGATTTATATACCCCCTCCCAGAGTAAACTGCTTTAAAACCATATCCTTCAAGGCGGCACATACTTATATAGCCCATATATGGCAATACCCTCTCCCCAGGGGGCTAGATGGCCTGCAAAGAAAAGGCTGGTCCCAGTATTTGTCAACACCCTCGCTGTGATGGATCAATACTACGTGACTGAGTTGACTCCCGATAACTCGAACCCTCGCTAACTGGAACCTTGCGCTAATTCGAACCAAAATCGATTTCCCCTGGATTTCCGCCATACATTTACTGAAATTTTACTCGGAGTAACTCGAACCTCCTGCTAACTCGAAGTACTTTTTGTTTCTCAGCCTCAGATCATTTCTATATAATTTTGCCCTCAATAACTCGAACCATGTTTTGAGCCCTTCAAAATTCGGGAAAAAACTGTCTACCGGAGTCTGAGACATTGAATTTGAATTTCCCATTGAAGTGTTGTAGGCATATAGTTTACCAGTGGAGGGTGATGTTGTGTGTCACAAATCTAACGTGAAACAGCTTTACTTCTCAAAACAGTAAAACGCATGCTCTATTTACTAGGCAAAGTTTTGTTACGTTTAGGAAATGTTTTGTTACTTACATACGGTAATCGGCTCCTGTATAGGTTCTGATTTATAATCTACAAGTATCTTTCAATTTCACTTAACATTTCTACAATTAAATTAAAATGTTCACTGTGCAGTAAAAACTGTTTTCCTTACTCCCGGCTACTTTCTTCTTCGAGCTCCCGATAACTCGAACTTTTTTCGATTTCCCTTCAAGGTTCGAGTTATCGGGAGTCAACTGTACTTCTTTTAGTCACAACTGCAGTTACGATTTCCCCTTCCAGTTCTTGTTTCTTGCAGTAAAAACCCCTGTTTCGTGTAGAATTAATCGCCTCTTAGACTGCCAGGAGTCCCTTATTTCTCTTTTGAGCCACAGTAGGTCGAGAGCATAATTCTACTGTTTCACTCGCCGCGCGTGGCTCTGAGGAAAGAAGGACGAACGCGCGCGGTCTAATCGCCTCCTCATTTCTTATCTTATCTCTAAGAAAGCGAGACTCAACGCTACTAAGAGAGTTCTTGTTTG